CAGAGCTGATGGTGGACTTCATCAAGCAGCTACGGGCCAACTTCACGTCAAGGTTTGAGGACTACTCCATCCCAAAAGACATCATTGCCTTTGTACGAGATCCTCTCACAGTCCGACCAAGTGGAGACTTCACCTCCCAGGCGAAACAAATGATCCCCTCCTTAGACGAGGCTGCATTAGAAATGGAGCTAATTGATTTTCAAACAAGCTCCCTGGTCAGCGATGCGCTCAGAAGTGCGGAGTCTGTGAGTGCCTTTTGGGTGGGAAGCTCAGAGGAGTATAGCACGATCAAGAGACTCACATTTTATGTGCTCACAATGTTCCCTTCCACCTATACATGCGAGTCGTCCTTTTCTTCAATGAATGCGATAAAGACGCACGAGAGGAATCGATTGACGCATAAAAACCTTGAGAACTGCCTGTGGATTAAAGTGACGTCCATATCAACAGATATCCAAAAAATAGTGACCGATGGGAGATGTCAGTTTTCACATTAAGTGAGTACCAAGCCTGTCGTAATTGTATTTAATAGCCTAATTATATTTTTTATATTTTTAAATGAATGGCTCATTGTAATTATTATCCCTAATGTAGCGTGTTTGTTCTGTCGTTTCAGGAGCATATGCACCACCACTCCTCGCCCTCCATGATCAAGCGGCTTCTCCAATTTTGTTGTCAATGTTTTGCCTGAACTTTGTTACTGTTCACATATAAGTAGGGGTGTAACGGTTCACAAACATTTCGGTTCGGTACGTACCTCGGTTTTTTGGTCACGGTTCGGTTCGGTACGTTTTCGGTACAGCAGAATTTTTTTTCACAAAACAAAACATATATATATATTTTTTTATTATTATTATTAAACTGTGAATAATGTATTCACTCAAATAAATACAAAATATAATAAAATAAACATTAAGGTGCAGCATTTCGATGAACTGAAATAATCTGTATTTGAACTTTACTGTACTAGTACTCACAAAACATAAACTATTAGTTTGGGGTTTTTAATTATTATTAAACTGTGAATATTCACTCAAATAAATACAAAATATAATAAAATGAACATTAAGGTGCAGCATTTCGATGAACTGAAATAATCTGTATTTGAACTGTACTGTACTAGCACCTAAGCAGCCAGTTTGACATTAGGACTTGCTTGTCATTGTATTTTCATGTTTTTTTAAAGAAAAATGAACTTGTCCACATTGCTTGCCGAAAGGGCAGATCTGCTGGCACTAACAATGTCTCCTGCTGTGGAGAACACCCTCTCGCTAGGGACAGAGGTAGCAGATACAGCCAGGTAGCGCTTTGCTAACATTGCAACATAAGGATAGTTGGCGTTTGTAATAGCTTTGGCTCGGTCTGAACTCTTTGCGAGTGGTGGAGGCTTAAATGCTAGTGGGAGTTGGGTTTGCACTTCAGTCTTTTTTCTTTTGGTACCGGTGATATTCACGTTCGGGTGATGCCTTTTCAAAAGAGTGTGCAAGTTTGATGTATTGCCAGCCGCGTAACCAATTTTAGTTGAACAATGCCGACAAACAGCTTTGGTTCGGTCCACCTGTCTTTGTCCGTCATCCTTGTACGTAACTGCAAAACCAAAATGTTCCCAAACCGGAGACTTCAATGATGCTGGAGGATTTTCGAGCTCAACTTTATCTGCGTTCGCCATACATTTTTCACAGTTCCTCAAATTACTGACTACATTTGAACGCATCCCTCTGACCAGCTCTCATAGTATGCCTCTCATCCAATGAAATGACTTGCTCGCTCTATGACGCGTTGAACCCAATGTGAGCAAATTACTCTGAATGCTGCGACGCAGCACCTGAGATTACTTCCAAAAAGTTATTCACGTTCTCAATTTTTTACGTTTAACGTTATATTCGTTCGGTACACTTCGGTACACACCTGTACCGAACCGAACGTGTACCGTTACACCCCTACATATAAGTAAACATTACGTTTGAATGATTTATTGAGTTGTTCTCGAGTGAGGGAACAATGGAGCGTGAGATGGGCCGGAGAATCGGAGCAGCGGGAGCGGTACTACAGTCGCTTTACCGCACCGTTGTGACGAAAAGGGAGCTGAGCCAGAAGGCAAAGCTCTCTGTCTACCGGGCCATTTTCGTTCCTACCCTCACCTATGGTCATGAAGGATGGGTCATGACCGAAAGAACGAGATTGCGGATACAAGCGGCCGAGATGGGTTTTCTCCGCAGGGTGGCTGGTGTCTCCCTTAGGGATAAGGTGAGAAGTTCGGTCATCCGGAAGGGACTCGGAGTTGAGCCGCTCCTCCTTCGTGTCGAAAGGAGTCAGTTGAGGTGGTTTGGGCACCTAGTTAGGATGCCACCTGGGCGCCTCCCTAGGGAGGTGTTCCAGGCACGTCCAGCTGGGAAGAGACCAAGGGGTAGACCTAGGACCAGGTGGAGGGATTATATTTCTTCGCTGGCCTGGGAGCGCCTTGGGATCCCCCAGTCAGAGCTGGTTGATGTCGCCAGGGAAAAGAAAGTTTGGGGCTCTCTGCTGGAACTGCTACCCCCGCGACCCGACCACGGATAAGCAGGAGAAGATGCATGGAGATGGATGGATGATTTAGTGAGCTGGTGTTATTTTTTTCAAACCACACACCAAATGTTGGCTATTTCAGCACCACGCGCTGTCCACCTATTGATCCACTATCAGCGCCAGTGCACCCCGCAGCCTGATTGTGCCAACATGGATAAAGTACAATAAGCATTCTTCAGGTGTAGGTAGATTCTCTATTCGGACATTATAGCCTATATGTGCGACTGTCGGTCCGATGTTGTAAAAAAAAAAATATATATATATTTTTTATTCTCAAAATTACGGGCCAAATATTATTGCTGCGGGCCGCCTGTTGCCGACCCATGCCCTAGGAGGAGAACGCAAACATTTCCTTAAAATGCATGAAAACCGCACATTTTTCAAAATGGCCGCCTTTGTCGGGGGCGGGGCTAATGGAAGCAAATTCGAAATATGTCCGCCATTCCATGAGGATTGTCTGTGCCAAAATTCGTGAAGTTCTGATAAACTATATGTGACTACCACACAATAGGGGGCGCTAGTGAGCAGTTTTTTTTTTTTTAAATTACGTTTTTCTTTTACATTCGCGAAAAGGTCGTGGGCTGTGACGTGTGTCCCAAGTTTTGCGTACGAAGCTCATTTTATGCTATCGCAATGTAAACAAATTGTATAGGCCACGCCCACATTCTGCATTTGTTTCGACACTTTAAACGTCAGTTCATAGTCACCCCCAGAGTATGTCTAAAAAAAGATTGTTTTATTTCGTCCATCCGTTCTTGATTTGTAAATTGGTGGTGTTTTTGGCGCCCCCTATTGTCCAAAATGAAAATGCTTTGGTGTGCCTATTCCCCAACACAGACTAAACGTATCCACCAAAATCTGTGGTGAATGGATACATTGTTGATGAGTTATGAGCATTTCTTTCTAAGCCACACCTTTTTGCTAATACGTTTTGATTAATGGCGGCATATTTATTACCTGAACATGCTCATTTCCTACTGTAATGTGTGTGACCCTCCACCGATGCTGTATACTAAGATTGGTGTTGATAAACCCAAATTTGAAATTTAGGATAATATTTCACTGTTTTTAACATTATGCTAATACAAAACAAATTAAAGTAGGCGGAGCTTAGGGGTTCAAGAGGACTTTATGTAGTGCAGGTCCGCCCGGATAAGTGTGCAAAATTTCAGGTGCATCCGACTTACGGTGCGACTATGTACATTTTTCAAAAATGTTTTACACATACGCGCTAGCGAGCATGTGGGAATTTTTTAACCCATCGACTCCAGAATGTCACATTTTTCACCGGTCCTGACGTCCATGCAAAATTTCGCTGCATGAATGGCGTCGTAAAGCTCAGGCCCTAATAAAGCTCAGGCCCTAATAAAGAATTTCGTGCTTAGAAGAACATAGTTGGAATGCTGTTAACAGCGGATTAAACCCTCCCCCGTCGGGGGGGAGGGCTTGAAGGACTCTTGTGCCGTTCATAGACATGTCACAATTTAAGCACACCCTACATTCTGTGTGTTGTTGTGAAAGCCCTCTCAACAAGACAGTCGAGCCAGCAGTGACTGTTCTCAAAGAGACTGAAACACGAGCCTCTCCTTTCACCATGTCTTTCAAAAAAGTATATCCTGCATTGGCCGGGAATCGAACCCGGGCCTCCCGCGTGGCAGGCGAGAATTCTACCACTGAACCACCAATGCCTCAGATAGTGTCCTCTCTGTTATCTACATATTTATATATAAATCTATATACTAGGGCTGTCCCGGATACCATTTTTCACTAGACTAACGTTAGGTCTACTGTAATAGCCTCACTTTTAATAGTTTTCAAAACATTAGCTAGCACTAGTGTTTTGCAGTTGCTAGCAGCTTATTGGGATTTTATGCTAGATAGACATGCATTGTTTTGATATAATAAATTAAGCATTATTGTCAGTTAAGCATGTCAGCCTGCAGCCCCACTTCTTGTCTCTCTCTAACTCATTGTAGATGGCTGCACTAAAGAAAAGGGCACAGAGAGGAAACCAGTTGTAAGATGTTTAAAATTGCATTAAACATGATATATGCTTAAATGCATTTCAAATAACTTGTGTTGGAGTTTGTGTTATTCTACATTTTGACACCAATATTTTCTGATTTTACTGCAAATGTATATCGGTTCCAAATATCGGTTATCGGTCTCCTTGATTACTAATAATCGGTATCGGCCTTGAAAAAGCCATAAGCCATATCGGTCGATCCCTAATCAGCACCCCCCGAAGAGGCAAAAGTTCTTACGTTGATATTGGAGATTTCAATAAAAACAAATAAAAAAAAACGAATATCCGAATAACGAAGTTGAAACCCGAATAGTACTCCAACGAACGAATATTTGGAAATTCGGATACAGCCCTACTATATACATATTATAGTTTATGAAATGTGTGTTTCAGTGTGGAGCCACTATACCTTCTGGTCGTCTTCATTTTGCACTGTAGCCAGCAAGCCTTTCAACATGCGACTTCTCTCTTCTTTAGCATGTACCAGAGGGAGGAAGCTTTGAAGCATGAAGCTGACCAGCTGATAGTCTAACCCAGGACCATTGTGAGGTTTGGACTCTTTAGCTGGACATGACTGCTCTGTTGAAATCACTACCTGAAAACAAGAAATTGGGGTAAATAAGCGTTGAACCACCTAGATTCCACACTACACTTTCAAACTCACAATATATACACAGACCTGCTCCAGCATACAGTGCATGATAAGAGGCACAGAGCAAACTTCAGGGGGAACCAGGTTGAGAAAGCTGTTATAGCAACGCATGTCCACATCTGTAGAGAGAGGAGGCTGTTCGGTCTCTGTTCACAAAGTAGAGAGGACACAAAGATAAAAAAGTTAGTCTTCACTAATTCAAAGTGCAAACACATGCCAAACAGCCTGGTTAAATAGTGCACCCTTCACTCGGACATGTCAGTGTTTAAGTCAGTTAAAGTGATGTCACAGCCTCTCATTCATCCCGCCATGCCTAAAACAATGTGTTGCATTGGCCGGGAATCGAACCCGGGCCTCCCGCGTGGCAGGCGAGAATTCTACCACTGAACCACCAATGCATAAAATGTTTCAAAATAAAAGCCCGAAAAATTGAAACAAAGAAGATGGCTTGAGATCTGACAATAAATCTGCTGGGAAAATACTGAGTATGCTCTTCCAATATTAGAGTAGCACATTATAACATAGCTCGAGTAAAGCTGCTCCAGAGCCACTATTTCAAGCATACTACGTCATCGAGTGCCGCCGAAGTACTGTTCCAATGTCCAGCATACTTGGAATTCTACCGAGCCCGGCGTACTTCGTTTCCTTCCTGGCATTCGGAAAACGAAGAGTGGAACAGGCGAGCAAGTGTGCAGGTGTGCGTCATATGAGAGGCCCCGCCTTACATTTTTCGCCACAGATTTTGGGAAATTGGTCCGTGCGCAAAGCATTGTGGGGATTTTAAGACCGCGGAGGATACACATGTGCAGCCTCGAAATGTCTCGCTACGAAGGACGCCGGGCTCGGTAGAATTCCAAGGAGCCTGGACATTGGAACAGTCCTTTGGCGGGACTTGATGACGTAGCATCCTTGAAATAGTGGCTCTGGAGCAGCTTTCCTTGACATTGAGAAACACCCACTGTTTTAGGAATATGATAGCTATGTGACAACGATTAACATGATGATTCAGTCTTTATGGAGATAGACATATGACTGTCATGTTTATTGCTTACGCAGGCCTTAGCTAATCTGAACTAAAACATTGAATACTGCTTTGAACCGGTATTCTGCATCTTGTGACTGAATAACACCCTCTCTTGTATGTAAGCATGTCAAGGAAACTGTTTGGAGAACTAGTTTTACCATGCAGCTCTGTATGTGATGACTACTTCCATTCTTGCAAGGATAGTAAATACATGTATCCTGATATTGAAGACCAAGCCGAGTGATATTTTTCTAACAAAAGTCTTGGGTAGTTTTATGAAATAAAAGAAAAGAAAGAGAAGACCATTCCACTCTTAATTAAATGCACCAAACAGCCTGGTTAAATAGTGCACCCTTCACTCGGACATGTCAGTGTTTAAGTCAGTTATGTCGCAGCCTCTCATTCATCCCGCCATGCCTAAAACAATGTGTTGCATTGGCCGGGAATCGAACCCGGGCCTCCCGCGTGGCAGGCGAGAATTCTACCACTGAACCACCAATGCATAAAATGTTTCAAAATAAAAGCCCGAAAAATTGAAACAAAGAAGATGGCTTGAGATCTGACAATAAAGCTGTTGGGAAAATACTGAGTATGCTCTTCCAATATTAGAGTAGCACATGATAACAAAGCTCGAGTAAAGCTGCTCCAGAGCCACTATTTCAAGCATACTACGTCATAGAGTGCCGCCGAAGTACTGTTCCAATGTCCAGCATACTTGGAATTCTACCGAGCCTGGCGTACTTCGTTTGGAGACATTTCGAGGCTGCACATGTGTAGACTCCACGGTCTTAAAATCCCCACAATGCTTTGCGCACGGACCAATTTCCCCAAATCTGTGGCGGAAAATGTAAGGCGGGGCTTCTCATGCGATGCACACCTGCTAGCCTGTTCCACTCTGTGTTTTCCCGAATGCCAGGAAGTATTCTTGCCTCGCTTCTGAAGCAAGACGCTCGGAAGACATGTCAGGGCTCGACAGTAACGGTTGCCAGGTTGCCATTGGCAACAATTCAGAAAAAATGTCAACCACTTCTTGGCCTTTGGTTGCCATCAGTGGCAACCAGTTTTTAACATAAAGAAATAAGGACAGCAAACAGCAAAATGTGCACCCCAAAATAGATAAATGTTAATTATTTGTTGTATTAAGAGTGATATTTAATTATTGTTGTGACCAGTTGGAACCTGACACTTAAGTTGCACGTGCATTGGTGTGATTACGGAGCCAGAAAGCGACGCAGGTTTACTCGCGTGCGCGGTGCGCCGTGTGTTTGTTTTAAAAAAACGGCGAAGCAAATTAAGTTGTTTGATTGTGAGGTAAAAAGTTCGGCCAACCCGTCAACATCTCAAACGAATGTTCAAAGTGATTCAACTGATAAAGCGCAAGGTGAACCCGAACGAAAAGGAAAGGGGAAATGTGTAAAGTCTTGGGAGGCGAAATATATATGTGCATTCACTTCCGGTAAAAGTTCCTTCAAAATAAGAGTCCCGATCTTATTACTACCAAAATAAAAGTGCAAAACGAAACTTTACCATAGGAAAAAATTGGCATAAAAATATAATCACTTCTATAAAAAGGTAACACATGTTAAATATAGTTAGACATATTAAAGGTAGTGGTGCACGATAATTATCGGTCCGATATTAGGAATTATGACGTCATCCCGATAAACCCGATAAAAGTATTAATAGCCCCGATAATATACAATATATTTTTTGGGTAAAAAAAAAGAAAGAAATACTGCGGTGTGGGTGGATTGGGATGAGGGGCGCTTGTTTTTCACTCGGCTCCTCCCGTTTTGCCAGTACTGTGGTATTAGTGGTTTAGGAAGAGGGGAGTTTTTCACAAATCCAGCGCTTCCTAACTCATGCCTGGCTGTGACGTAAATGGTGTGCGGCCGTGAAGCCAGGACAGTAAACAAACATGTCGTCGGTGGTACGGGACTATTTCAAAGTTTCAGAGTTAGATAGTTCGCTTGCTATTTGTATTAACAAATGCAATGCAGAAGTTCCATGAGGAGGGAAAAAGGCAACGAGCTATAATACTTCCAACCTGATTAGTCACCTGAAACATCGCCATCGCTACGATGGTGTGTTAAAAGCGTACGAAGACGCCTGCGCTGCTAAACTAGCGGCGAATCCAAAGCCAGCTGCAAAGGCACCGGGGCTTTTACCTATCGACGAGGCTTTTGAAAAAGGCAAGAAGTTTGCCAGATTTGTTTGGGAAAATAAATATGGTCACTTTGAAGAGTCAAAACTGTTCTTGGCTTTGTTTTGTTCATAGTAGTAATGCTCATGTCATTTGCTCACTACTAGTCTTTTTGTTACCACCAGGTGTGCAAAAACTACAGGTACATTTAATATATATATATTATATTATTATCGGTTATCGGTATCGGTCTTGAGAAGCAGGAAGTTATCGGTATCGTTATCGGTTTCAAAAAACCAATATCGTGCATCCCTAATTAAAGGTAATTTACAGCATTCATAATTAATATCTAATTCTTAACTGTGAATGGTTTTCATTTATTTAACAATAGAAATGTATTAGTCTGGCCAATCAGAGACTTCAATGCTGAAGGGCCAATGGATCTATGGTGGGGGTCAGCACAAAGGTCAGGAAAACCCAAACATGAAAGGGAGACAACGGATGACCAAGAAACTAGTGACTTGCTCAATTCATTTGTGAGGGATCTGTGAAGAACATGACAACAGCTGCGCAACTGGTATTTTGTATACCAGCAATTGAGGGCGGACACGTTTCCTACCACTTAAGTTTCAAATAATTGCGTTAATTACTTATTGTAAAGCATTTGAACATTCTTTTGTATCACATGTTCATTATTAAGTTGATGTATAACTGTATAGTATCTTAATTATTTAAAATATAAGGTGTCTAAAAATGGCAACCGTATTTTCTGTTTTGGCAACCAAAAGCTGATGCCTGGTTGCCAGCTTGGCAACCACTTTTAAAAGTTAGCGTTGAGCCCTGCATGTGCTACCAAGCAAGCGTACTCGAGATTGAGAAACACCCTCCATGTATGATTACCTAGAAGAGCATCAGGACACACTGGGTGTTTCTCAATGTCGAGGACGCTTCCTTGGTAGGACATGTCTTCTGAGTCACTTCCTTCGGAAGCTAGGCAAGAATCCTTCCTGGCATTCGGAAAACGAAGAGTGGAACAGGCGAGCAAGTGTGCAGGTGTGCGTCATATGAGAGGCCCCGCCTTACATTTTTCGCCACAGATTTGGGGAAATTGGTCCGTGCGCAAAGCATTGTGGGGATTTTAAGACCGCGGAGGATACACATGTGCAGCCTCGAAATGTCTCGCTACGAAGGACGCCGGGTTCGGTAGAATTCCAAGGAGCCTGGACATTGGAACAGTCCTTTGGCGGGACTTGATGACGTAGCATCCTTGAAATAGTGGCTCTGGAGCAGCTTTCCTTGACATTGAGAAACACCCACTGTTTTAGGAATATGATAGCTATGTGACAACGATTAACATGATGATTCAGTCTTTATGGAGATAGACATATGACTGTCATGTTTATTGCTTACGCAGGCCTTAGCTAATCTGAACTAAAACATTGAATACTGCTTTGAACCAGTATTCTGCATCTTGTGACTGAATAACACCCTCTCTTGTATGCAAGCATGTCAAGGAAACTGTTTGGAGAACTAGTTTTACCATGCAGCTCTGTCTGTGATGACTACTTCCATTCTTGCAAGGATAATAAATACATGTATCCTGATATTGAAGACGAAGCCGAGTGATATTTTTCTAACAAAAGTCTTGGGTAGTTTTATGAAATAAAAGAAAAGAAAGAGAAGACCATTCCACTCTTAATTAAATGCACCAAACAGCCTGGTTAAATAGTGCACCCTTCACTCGGACATGTCAGTGTTTAAGTCAGTTAAAGTGATGTCGCAGCCAATTATTCATCCCGCCATGCCTAAAACAATGTGTTGCATTGGCCGGGAATCGAACCCGGGCCTCCCGCGTGGCAGGCGAGAATTCTACCACTGAACCACCAATGCATAAAATGTTTCAAAATAAAAGCCCCAAAAATTGAAACAAAGAAGATGGCTTGAGATCTGACAATAAAGCTGTTGGGAAAATACGGAGT